GCGCATATTTCACCGAGATTTACGGATTTACATTATAATAGTAGCTGCCGCAGAATGCTTGCCAAGGTAGAATAGGAATCGAATAGGGCTTATTGTGCCTCAACTTGGATTCAACTACTCAAAGAATACTTCAAACCAGCTTTGCCACTTCATACTAATGTTGATATCTATTTAAATATCAGCTCAGAATATTTCTACGTATTAACAGTGGCAGATATATATAAAGTATATATATGGGTCTACGAACTGAAACGATCTTGCCTTGCCCCTCTGTACATCTATCCTTCAGTCTGTGTGTTCGCCTGTGTCCATCTGTCCATGGGTCTATATAAATGCGTCCAAGAGCTGAATAGATCTTGTCTTGTCCTTCTGTTTGTATGTCCGCCAGTCTCTCTCTCTCTCTCTCTCTCTCTCTCTCTCTCTGTCTGTATATATGAGTGTGGAATGAACTTGCCTTGTCCATCTGTTTGCCTATGTCAGTCTAGAAACTGCATCGATCTGGCCTACACTTTAGTTTCTTAACTTAAAGTGATGCTGCTAGAAACACGAATTTTTCGACTTTTGTTAGCTGCTTTCATTCATCCACATAGAGTAGGCTCTTGGGCTGTGCTATACAAGCATACTTGCTGAAATATCTCTGGGACTAGCTCAGTCTTATACGATATAATTGGAAATGGTATATAGTTATTTAAACAGACTTTATGGTCTTATTAGTTAGCTTACACGCACAACATATATGCCGGGCGCTTCGAATCGCTGCTGAGCAAAACCTTACTCAACTTCACGTCTAAGCCCGTATCGGAATGCTGAACCTGAACCCGAAACCCTAGGCCAAGGACAAGGAATAGCTCGAGGTTGCTCGGGGCTTAGGGTGCGGCGTCTTAGTCAAAAAGTCACCAAGGCGCATGCAAAGTAAAACAGTTATATAACACACACACAAAGAGAGGGGGGGGGGGGGGAGGTAAGTAGAGACAGCCGCATGCAACAAATATGCTAAGCCCCCAGATTGTCTTATCGCATTGAATTAGGTGTCTAACCCTTATTTCAACTGCCAGAGAAACTCTGACACTTTTACGCTTCTGTTGCTGTTTCTGTTTCTTTTGTTTCATTTCTTTCTTTTTTTTTTGTATTTTTTTTGGCCCGGCTCTGTTGATTTGCTGGCATGTATTTTGGTCGCAGGGCCCACGGCAAGCGACGCCGTCGCCAAGCTGCCGACACTTCGAGCATTTGCGGGTTTGTCATTTTGGCGCTCGCTTATCGCTGATTCAAGCCCAAGCCCATTGAAAGCGCGCCCCAAGCTGCGCCGCCATTTAAATATTTATTGCAATAAAATGTTTTGAATTGCCCCTCGCCGTTCGCCTCTCGCCCCTCACGTTGCATGCCATATTGCAGAAAAGGCTTAGGAAGCAAAGCGCCCAATTATGCATCAGCTGTTGGTTGACACGAATGATATGTAACGAAGGCTAAGAGGCATAGAGAGAGAGAGAGAGAGAGAGAGAGTGAGAGTGGGGCGAGGGCGAGGCAGGTGCTCTGAATTTCACTTCAGCTAATTGCGCGCTAATCGCCGCAAACATTTTAAAAATTTACAGTTGCCGCCGAGCGGTAAATAGACATCCAGAAGCATATTCCACGTGACTCCTGGCTGATGGCTGATGGCTGATGGCACGCTCCTGGCGCGCTAGTTCAGTGCGCCAAAAACCATTGCAATATGCGTTGCAAAAAAGTTTGCGGCGCGGGCGCTCCAAGTTTATGCGCTCGCTTCCGCCGGAAGTCGGCAAAGTGTGCGTCTAAGTGCTCATCAGTTGGCTAAGCCCCGCCTCTGCCAGCCACCCTCGCAGCGAGCTGCAGTGCTCACGACATGATTTCACGGCACGTTTTCGGTTGTTTTTAATGCAATCAACTCGACGGCACACACCGCCCCAGCCCAGCCGCCTGCCTGTGTGCCCCTTGATCGTATCATGTTTTGCTGTAGCTCGGTGTCGGCCGCTCGTTGCCCTGGTCTCTCTGCTCTCTCTCCTCTCTCTCACTTTTTTCCTTTCTGCGGCTGCTGGCACTGCCACAAATTAGATTTAGTGGCAATTTATTGCTTTGTTAGCATTTCCACGTTCCTTGCCACATGCCCCACGCCAAACTCTTCTGTCAAAATATGCCCCGAAATGGCAAGCTGAATGTGGTGCAAGTGGTGCTCGTAATTTGCTGCCTGCTGCCTGCCGTCTGCCGTCTGCTGCCTGCTGCCGCTCCACGTATTTGCTTTTTAATAATGTGTGCTAAGTAATTCTATTTGATTTTCCTTCTACTTTTTTTGGTCGCTTTCTCTTCGGCTTTCCAATTTGGTTTGTTGCGCGAGATTTTTGCTACTGTTTAATATTTTTTTTTGAGCACCCATTAAAAACGGTTGAAAAGGGTATCTGGCGTCTGGCCTTAAGAGCCGTCTGCTTTTCATTTTATTTTCCTCATTTTTATATATGTGCAAGGCTCAAAGTCCTTAATTTCATGTCTCCTTTTATCAAAAAGAATCTGTATGATTCGCACGCAGCTGTGGCTGTGGTTTTGGCTTTTGGCTTTTGGCTTTGGCTTTGGCTTTGGCTTTGGCTTTGTGTTCTCTAATCAATATTTCAAGTATTTATTTTCTCTTTCAACTTTTGATTAGACTTCTTCTTCTCCTTTGTCTTTATGCTTTGCATAATCATGTTTTTCATGAATTGTCGCCTTTATATGCGATTCTCAGCCACTGAATTCATTTGGAGCCTTTGGGACTTATCAGATTTTTCTCTCCATCTCTAGCATGATCTCTTTTTCTCTCTCACTTTTTCTCTGTCTCTCTCTCTATCTCTCTCTACTTATCTCTCTCTCTTTACTTCTCTCTCTCTTTCTCTCTATCTCTCTCTCCCTCATGTCATGTGCCTTTTCCACAAAATACAGAGTATATAATTGTCTCATAATCCTCAACCTCAACTAGAAATTTTCCATTATTTAAGTCCACGGCTAAGCCAAGGCATTGGACGTGGGTCTCGTCGCGGCACTTGGCAGTCGGCACACACATTAAGTAATTGAAAATTGATGCTGGCAAGAAGACAGTGACTAAAGCAAGTGAAGACGGCCTGGTGGCTGGGGGTCAGCGCATTGCCTCAGGCCATTTAATGTAACGCCTCCATTTAGTGCGTGAGTACGTAGGCCTTATTGTTTCACGAGCTTGTCAAATAGACAAGAATTTCGACGCAAGGATTTTCAATTCCATTTCGCAGTCAATCGCATATCCCGTTGCAAATGTGCTTCCTGCTCGGATGTCCACACGTCCACACCGCAGGCCCTACCGAACAGCTGAATACATAAAATATCCCATTAATTGCGCTTGTCTACACATAATTTTCAGCTTTCCGCAGTTCCATTAGGAAGCAGCAAAATTTTGCTTATTACCACAATAATTATGTTTATTCGCATACCCTGCGAATGTGTCGAGCCGGGCATTATGGCTAGTCGGAGGAGCTTCATAGAAGTGATGCAGAAAATGCTGTGCTCGCAGGCTATATTCGACTGGAAAGCTGACCCTGTACATCAGCTGTGACTGCAGGGTATATTGTAGTCGAGCAGGTGGCGGAGCAAGCTGCTGTTCGTGCTTTCCAACTTCAACTTCCTCCTGCTGCTGTTTCTCCCAGAACACTGTGACTACGCCAGCCGTGTTCTTCAGCTGATTCAGCCAATTCGCTTTCTTATTTTAGTGCATTTCCACGCATCCCACTGACTTCGATTTTAATTCCAAATGATATCCATGTCTCAAAAGATAACAATATATAACTGTCTCTATGTACTGCATAATCAAATATTGTGCGTGCCACATCTGGCTGAGCCTTCAAGCGCATTAAGTCTTTGAATTTCTCTGAATTATAATGGCATCTTCAAATGGCAAAAGCTAATTATGGCTTTTATATTGCACACATATACATGTGTCACATGTGTAGAAGGAGGAAGAAGTTAAGTGAAACGTGTTCTTCCTCAACCTCGCTTACGGCTCAAACTTCAATTAATTTCATCAAATATCGATTCAATTTCAGATTCTCAAACTTCTAAATTTTGTTTTTTTTTAGAGTCTTACAACTTTGAACTAGAAAAACTGCTTTACTAGACCACCCACTGATAGCTGATAGCTGTCTTATATTGGGCTTGGCTTGACATTTTATAGCCAGTAATTTTGAAATAAATAAAGGTTTTATTCCTTAATCTTACTATGCATTTCATTAATTTTTGCTGAAATGTCGCATTTAAAATTTACATATATCTTCCAAAGTGAAGATGATTATGACAGTGATGATTCTAAAAATAGATTATAATAGCCCAAATATATATATAACATAAATGTCATAAAACATTCTATTCAATAAAGTTAATTGCATTGATATTTATAATAATTCTTATTATTTAACTATAATTTAAACTTATTCAACTCAAAAAAAAACAACAATGCAACCGCGCAATTATTTATGTCTGCATGAAGAGCCCATTAATAGGCATTCAGCTGGCTCATCGTAGCACTTAAGCTGTGGCAGATATATTTAAGTTTCAGAGTAGGTCAACATAAGGCCGCTTTTGGAAAGTGGAAGCTTTAGCTATGGCAAATAGGGTTGCTTGTGCTGTTAGAGATACAAGGAACTGCCCCTTTTCTGAAGAATCCACTAGGCGTAGGCACCTTATCTATCAGAAAGTGAGATCTAGTAGTCCTCAATGCTGTTTCGGTCTAGTGTCAGGTGAGAGCTTAGAGCACAAATACAATTTAATTTGATTTCGGCCTGCAAGCAGTTTTAATTTTTCTAATGAAAAAATTTAAACAAAACTAATAAAATTTTCTTTTCAATTCGCAACTAACTGAATAACTCGCTGAATATATCGTCGCATTTGTGTTCAAATTTACTAAGCTGTTCACTGTTTTTGTGTTTCGTTTGCGTTTGCAACGACAACGGCAACGACAGCGGCAACGGCAGTGGCAACGGCAGAGGCAACAGCAACGGCAGTGGCAAAGGCAAAGGCAAAGGCAAAGGCAAAGGCAAAGGAAAAGGCAACGGCAAAGGCAACGTCAACATGGATTGCACTTTTGACTTGAAGCCACTGTTTGATAAGGACATAATTAAGGTGCAGTCGGATATGCTGCCCGAGGGCTTCGTTGGCAGTCCGGAGCAGTCGGCGGAGGCCAAGCGCAGGATGGGCTGGATCATCGATAAGATTGGCCTGATGTCCGCCCAGGCTCAAGGCTTGCACACGTCTGTGACGAGTGCCAGGCAAACGAATGACAAACAGACAATCTATCTGATGGCCGGCAAGGGCAAGGAGGAGGGCAAGCTTGTCGTCACGGGTCTGCTCAAGATGGGTCCCAAGGATCTCTATTTGTTCGATGAGCGCGGGCAGCTGCGCAGTCGCATTGGCACGCCCGCTGTGCTCGACTTCTTCGTGCACAGCTCGCATCAGCGGCGCGGCCTGGGCAAGCGGCTCTTCGATAACATGCTGCAAGACCTTGACTTGACCTTGTGCAAGTGTGCGGTCGATCGACCGTCGGCCATGATGACCGCCTTTCTGGCCAAGCACTACGGCCTCGTGCGCACCATTGCGCAGACCAACAATTATGTGCTCTACGATGGCTTCTTCGGTAACAATGATGCCAGCCACGCCGATGCCAAGGACAGCAAATTTAGGGGACATACGAAAGCAACCGATAAGCCCGAGAAGGACCTCAAGGTGCTAAGCATGGCCGAAATTATGGAAGCGGGCAAGAAACAACCTCGCGAAAGCAGAAAATACAACATCAAACGTAACGGAGATACCAGGAGTTGGCAATAGAGCTGGCTCCCGACAAGGGGACGACAGACAGACGCAACTGGACGGAGCTGGACCGAACAGATTAAGGATAACGACTCGGCACATATGTCTATATATATATATAGATATATACACATTTACTTATATATACATACATATATATCGATATATGTGAGTCACATGTGTAGCTCGCATTCGAAGCATGCCATCCATAATAGGAGTTGGCTCGCACAAGGCGAAAGATATTCGAAGGACTTAAGCAGTTGGCGAAAATCCAAATCGCAACTTTTATTTTTGGGCTTAGGGAAGTTTTTTAAAATTTGAGTACATTCATTCAACACACACAAACACACACTCGCACAATTGGCTAGAGGAACCCGTTTTCAACAATGATGTTAACTAAATTATCTTTCTCAATGTAATAAAAAAAATCATGGCGTCATGGCAAAGAGCGAAGAAAACATATTCAGCTGTTAGGCAATGGCTCTGGCGAGTCCATAATCAGTTAGTGAACAGCTGTTAAAAGGGGCAGGTGTTATGTTTACTGTAATTGCACCTGCTGCTGCTGCTGCTGCCACTGGTGCTGCTGCTGCTGCTGCTGCGATTGTTGCTTTTATTTGCTTTGTTGTCGCTGCTGAAATTCGCTTTTTATTTGCATAGTTTCAATTTCATTTAACTTTTATTTGCTGCCACGTTGCCAATGCCAAATGTGGTGTTAAGTTGTTGTTGTTGCTCAGCATTGGCATAATATTTAATAGCCAGTCAAACAGTTGGCTCGAGAGGCTGTGCTGGCTGTGTCCCTGCCCCTCTCTGCCTCTCTCTTTGGCCCACACTCTCCACCTCCCTCTCTGCCCCCGTTGATGTTAGCCAATGGTCGACGCAGCTATGCTGTGTTGCCTCGTTTTAACAAACTGGCAGACACAAATGCAGACCAAAAACGAATTTCGAGCGAAATTAGTTTAATTTCTCGGCCATTGCTGAGGCCCACGATTTCGCGCTGGTTCCCTGCATTAGCTGCGCGCATATCTATCTAGATATGTGTTGGCTAGAAACAATGGCGGTTACAGAAAATGGGAAATGAAATTCAGCGGAGCACGCACACACCTACACACCTACACACACCTACGCACAGCTAGACTAATACAATGGGAAAAATATTAAAATTCAAAATTTTTGTCACGTGTCAAACGCCATTTATGCGCTTCGTGATCGCACGCGGCTCAGTCCGTGGCTCACATACACATATGCACATGAGCCACACACACACTCACACACAGCAATGCCAATACCAATACTAATGCACACACGTAGGCAGCGGCCTGCGGGACACATATACGGGGCGACGCGGCAGTCGCTAGAAGCAACAGAAAGTTGAATAACATAGCCAAGCGAGCTTAGTGCGGGAGAAAGGGACGGCGCGTGGGAGAAGGAGGGCGAGAGTGGAAGGAAGACAGCAGTCAGTCTCTTAGGGCATTGAAATTATCTCACGCAAAGTGTAACACGCTGAAGACGCTGAAATCAATATTTGTATAAAGGTCTTCGCTTCACTCAGACTAACATGTTCAGTATTAAAGTATTGCAGACTAGCCATACCTATATATATATATATATATATATAATTATAAATATAGTATATATATTTGATCATTAAATAAACTAACTATAAGAGCTTAAGTTGCTTTGAGCAAACTGAAAGATAAAATAATTTGATAATTTATTAATTTAAGTCGAAAAGGGTGTTTGATATTCGCATACTTCCATGAACATGTTGCCTCGCAGCACATGATAAATTGTTGAATGTATCGAGACAACAATTGCTGTGTTTTGCTAAAGATACTTTGACTAATTCTTATTCTTTTCAAGCACTTTACAATGGAAACATATTTGAACGGTTAAATTAGTATTTTTTATATTTTTATATTTATATTTATATTTAAAAAACAAAGACTGAGAACACGTATTCTCAGTCTTTGTTTTATAAATGTTTATATTAATGAAAATGCAAATCGAATGTGCCTCACAGTTTTGGTCGAAAGTTATGTTCAACTTAAACTTAAGCTGAAGTTGGTAAGCAAATGTTTGCCTCTTCTGCCACTAGCAGACGTGGCGTGTGTGTGTGTGTGTGCCAGTGTGTGTGTATCTAAAGCGTTTTGTTTTTAGCTAAATTTCAGTGCATGTTGCTGACGTTCTCAATGCGCACAAATTGTCTGATTCTGATGTCGTGTGTGTTTGTTTTTGTGTTTGTGTATTATTGTGCAGCATGTTAAAGCTAGCAAGCACATACAGACACACACACACACATAAACATGCGTGTGTGTGCGAGCTACTTTGATGCTTTTAAGTGCGTGTGGCTGCCCACGAAAAAATGTGTGCACGTTTCTTACTTTACACATACAGTTAAGCACTATGTGTGCGTGTGTGCGAGTGTGGGTGTGTGTGCGTGGCACTTTTATTACCACATATCGATTGAGCGACTTCGCTGTTGGCCATTATGCAAAACTACCTTTAAAATAATACAAATAATTTGCTGAAAGGCTTCTCTTCTGCCTTTTGTTGGTTTTGATTATTTGTTTAGTATGAATTCAATAGAAACGGCAAACACAATTAGAATTTTGATATGTGTGTAGTTAAATTTTAATTTCACGATTTATTTTCCATTTGCTTTTTGTTTATTCTTTTTTTTGTTTTTAATTGTAATTAAATTTTTGGTAAAATTTCTGTGTTTTGGCTTTTGTCTCTTGCTTTCAGAGCGATTACGCTGCGAATGCGTAATATTCGGCATACGCAACTAATGCCCAGACTAATTAAAAATGTATTTTGGCATTTAAATTTGCATTTGAATAGATTTTAATAGAGACTCGAAATATTTAATGAGAGCTGAAAGCGAAAGCAAAGCTGAAATACTGCAGAACTGAGGGCACATTGCTGACCAAAAGGACATTTGGTTTGCCGCAAGGCAGCGGGTCAAAGTTCTGCAATCATCAAAGCGACATCAGCCCCAATCATGGGACTATAGAGTTGCAGAGGTCAAGCCAGTTCGATGGACTAATTGAAGCAACTACTCCAAACTGATTCATTATAGTTGACTATATGATACTTAAGGGAAATATGCAAAGAGGAAACTATATATGTGCTTGGGTCTGCACGGTATCCATAGCCTGAGCGAATCACTTTGAGCAACATCTGAGATATCGCGCATAATGAGGGTTGCCGCCGCGCAACCCTATTTGCATGCTGCTCGCACTGTTGGAGCTAGGGGAATCGCAGACTGGAGCAGCCTTTTAAAGCGGCATCAGCAAATATTTAAGCTCATTCCCGGCTAAAAATACGTGACGCCCCTGTCTCCGGCAGCAACGAGAGTCCCAAAAAATATTGGCGTGGGGCCAGCGTGGCGCACGTTTAAAAATAGCAAAATGAATGAATATTAAATTACGATAAATAAAAAGCAAGCCAAGAACTTGAAAGCCAAAAAAAAAAAAAAAAAATTCACAAGAATATTCCTTAGAATCTTTGCTAAGCTATATTGGTTTAGTGCTGTTGTTGCTGTTGGCTGGTTTTTATTGCATTTCCGTAAAGTAAGCCATGTAAATCACTTAAGAGTTCTGATGGTTCGCGACTCGCCCCACGTAGCCCCACGTAGCTGCTCTAAAAAGCACATAAAGCAAAAATGCTGTGAAAATCATTTGTTACACTACGCGTATGGATAACTGTAAAGTGCCTTACTGCCATTCGCTCTCTCTGTGTGCGTGTGTGTGTGTGTGTGTGTGCAGCTCTCGCTGTTACAATAATGTGCACTTATTTTTTATAGCAATCATTTAAGACCAAAATGTAGCAAAAGCGCACAACGAAGTGAAAGTAAAACAAAGCAGCAAAGTCACTCAAAAAAGTACCTATATATATATATATCTATATATGTATGTATATATATATATCAGACATATATACGTACATATTTTTTATAAACATCTAAGAGCGGGCGATGCGAAATGGCGTCCGGAAATGTTTGCGCAAGTGGAAGCTGAAGCAGCCCAATTTCCACTACTCATACCGATTTGACTCCTTTATCCTGTTGCGATTCCCAACTGGTTTACCCACTTGGGCTCCATCACAGCGCGCAAAAGTCAGCTGCGTCAACTGTTTCTGTGCTGTTCCATCTGTCGCTGTCTTGTATACAAATTCTCTATCTATCTCCCTCCCATCTCTCTCTCTCACTCTCCCCTTGCTTCCCTCCCATTCCGCTGATGAGCTTCAATCAAGGAAATTGCTACTTTCTCAACAATTTTTCACTCGCTTTGTGCTTAAGCCGCGAGCTACATGAAAGTCAAAAACTCTCACTCGTAATCGCAGTCGATGTATATTCGAGCATTCACTCTACGACTGTCGTTCACTTGACTGACACAATTCAGGCTCTGGCTTGACCCGGAATGTGTGGCAAGGCACGTGGAATACTATGTGGAATACCTTGGGACTGAAACTTCATAATGTATTGCTTTGCATGAAAGGGTGAATGTGACTGGGACTGGGGCATTAGCCAGGCGAAGCCATGGCCCTCATATAGTTTGATTCATGAGCAGCGAGCAGAGATTCTATTAATTGAATAATTGTTGCGAATGGGCTTATTAAATTTACAGCTTGGCAAAGTTTTAATTGACTTTTAGCTGACATTTTCATTGCAATTGTTGTGGGCCTGGGCGTGGCCGTGCGCATGTACGTGAGTGCGGAAGACAAGCCTTGGCACGACTACAGCTATCCAGTTAGCGTGCACAATAAGCCTTTGCCAAGCCACCAGGTTTTTCAGGCACATTCTTTCTGAAAATATTCTTAACGCAAAGTTTTTGCGAACAATTACGTACGTGTGGCCTAGTAACAGTCTTTTACGACGGCGCTGCAGCCGGAGCCGGAGCCGAAGCCGGAGCTGTAGCTGTGGCTGTGGCTGTAGCCGCTGCCAGGGCAGGTGAGGCAGACTGAGAGAGCGCTGTAACTAGGTGAATGTTTTGCATGACAACTTTTTTGCTACTTAGAAGAAGCAAGAAGCAAGGGCGTGTTTTGCTTGCGGTAGCAGAAGGCAGAAGTTAGAGGGCAGCAGGGTGAAGGGAGATGGGAGAAGGGGTTGCTGCTTGGATAATAGTCAACCGACTAACTACATAACTGTAGACAGAACATGTCGCGGTTAAGGTGAGCGAGTGACAGCCTGACAGGTGGCGAAACAGAGCGCCAGCTCTGGCAAGACAGGCAGGCAGGCAGGGGCAGCAGGAGGGGGATCGAAGAGAAGTGTGGCAGGCGATGACAATCATCAACATCATTATCATAGTCGGGGTCGACGTGGCGCTCATTCCAAGTACTTAGGAAACTTTGCACTATATAAGCTTAACTTTTTCAACCACAGCGAGTTGTAGCAGGAGTCTCTGGCCCAGGCGGACGCAGCTTTTGGGTGGCAATAATATGACAATAATG